TCTATTTTGAGTTTTTTAAGGACCCTCCATATTGTTTTCCATAGTGGTTGCACCACCAATTTGCTATCCCAACAATGTATGAGGGTTCTCTTTTCTCCACATCTTTTTAAACACTTGTTGTTTTTTGATTTCTTGATGATAGCCATTCTGACAGGGTGAGGTGATATCTCACTGTGGTTTTAATTTGCATTTATCTGATGGTCAGCGACCTTGAGCATCTTTTCACATGTCTGTTATCCATCTGCATTTAAAGCCTGTGTTTTTTATGTATCACCATATTTCTTAATGGGATCACCACAGCCCTTAGTGATACACAGGATGTTCTTAATGCCTCAAACCATGGCAAAATGAGATTCTCTCTATTGAGAGGTTTCTTTTTTTTTTTTTTTCAGCTTTAGTGAAGTATAATTGACAAAGGAAATTGTAAGATATTGAAAGTATATATATGATGATTTGATATACATATGGTAAAAGACTTTCTCCTATCTAATTAATACATCCATCACCTCACATATTTATTTTTTTTTGGTGAGAATGTTTAAATTCTTTTAGCAAATTTCAATTATACGATACAGTATTATCAACTATAGTCACCATGTTATCCATTAGCTCTTCAGACCTTATTCATCTTATATATATATAGCAGAAAGTTTGTACCCTTTTGCCAACCTCTTGAGAGGTGTCTTTAAGAGACAGGGAAGCAAGAGAAGAATTAGGAAAAAAATGGATGTAAAAATGGATTGCTTTGAAACAACAAAAGTGGTATATATGAGTGTAGGATATTGGTATATTTTTCAGATCAAAGTTGACATGATTTTTAAAATATATTCAAGTTACATTTTGATTGAGCTATTTGGTAAAGCCAAAAGTATTTCCTCTTGGAAGATGAGAACTTTGGGATGTAGACATTCAGGAATAAAACATAGTTCAGGGCTCCCTGTAGTTTGCAAGATGCCACGATGAATAGCAATGGGATGAAGGGCTAAAGAAGTGACTGATGCTGTGACATAAAAAGCAATGGTAGAGGAAGGGCATTTTTGGAGAGGGTTTCCCAGGCATCATTCAATCAGAAAAATTTCTCTTCTTTTGAAGATGAGGGCAAGGAAGGTATAAGGAGATGGCATTTTGTGGCTGGTACTTTGGAAAGTACCTTCCAGAATTTACAGAAGATTCGATAATTGTGAAGCAGAGAGGAAGAACGAAAATAACCTGAACAACAGCAATGCAGTTGATGGACTCTGGGTACTTTGAACCCTGGGGTCGTGAGCTAAGAGGGCCAACAGAGTGAGTTAGCAGCAGATCCAGAGAGACCAGCCCTGTCTGGCTCTCAAAGCCTTGGTCTTGCCATTCCATCGTGTGCCTTCAGTGTGAATCAGGCCAGGATGTGGACCGGTGTGGGATGCTGAAGTTTGCTGGTGAAGCAGGACCGGGGCCGGCTCTGAGGAAGAGGGGAAGAATGAGGAAAGCCCCTCAGGAATCCCTCTTGGAAGAGGTCGATTCAACACTAAAACCACTTTGCAGCGATGTCCTCATATCACTTCTGGTTGTTGTGTGTTTATATTTACAAAATTCATATGTTGACTTCATAGCATGAGTTTAACCTTTCTTAATGAAACATTCGGCAGTTTTTAATGTACAAATTAAAGGATTTTCTTTGGGCATGTTGACAAGTAGAGGTTAGTACTCACACCAGTTTGATCTAGCTGATGATTACAGTCACGGGAGTGGGCAGATGATCCCCAGCACAGGGGCTGGGCCACCTGCCCGTGAACCAGAGCACTGCTGTACAAATATCAGCCTTCAGGCATGGTGTTAGAGTTTTGTCCTTGCCCCCTCCAAAGTCGGGAGGTCTAATAGGTGGCTAATTTCAGCCCGGAATAGGTTTAAATCTTATTTCTACCCTTTATTACTTGCATAATTTGGGGAACATGATTTAAATTCTCTGAGCAAGTTTTGCTACCTAACATGGTGGTGACAATGATACCTACTAACAAGGGTCATTGCAAAGATTCCATGAAAAGCGTGATCAGAGACTGGTACATAGTAAGTATGTGATAAATGCAAGCCATTTCTATTGTTACTGGTACTAGCCAAGTTGAGTTTCAGGAAAGCCAACAGGAAGGTTCTAGAAAGAAGCAGAGTTGTTGAATGTCCTTGGGAGGCATTGCCTGATTTTCTGTTCGCCATCTCTGACATCGTCCTCTCTTAACTGGGTTAGGGCTTCATTTCCTGATTGAATTGCGCAGAACTGCATTCTTGGTAGAGGAGCAGGCTGCTTTGGCTGGGCCTCCTGATGAGAGGTTAATGCCAGGAAAGGCCTGCTTCAGGGAGGCCGGAGAACAACCCGTAAAAGAGACAGCTCATCCCAGACCAGGTAAAGCATCAAGGAGTCCAAACTTAGCAAAGAAAACTCCCCACTCAACAGACAAGTTTTAAAAGTGTAAACAACATCTGCAGCCTCCTGAAGCCTGCTAATCAGATGTTTGTATGCAAGTGACTAGAAACAATAACAAGGAAAGATGCTCTATGCTGTGCTAACACCCCTAGTGAAGGACTATAAAAGCCCCTGTGCATTAGATGTTTTTCAAACTCAGGTATACTGAGTTTGCAACTTCCCAGAAAAGTTAGCACCATGGTGGATAGCTGTTGTCCTGGAAACGCAGAGTTTGCAACTTCTCAGAAAAGTTAGCACCAGCACCATGGTGGATAGCTGTTGTCCTGGAAACGCCACAGACATTCCAGCTGTGCCCACCATCTCCATATGCACAAATCGTGGCAACTTCCGAAATGGTATCTGTTTGCCTAGTTCCTGCCGGAGCAGAACATGGCAACTGGTCACATGCCAAGAAAACTGTCAGCCATCCAGCAGTGCCCCGAGTGGCTGTGAACCTGCTCCTTGTCAACCTACCTGCTTTCCAGCAACTCCTTGTGTGGGTTTTGTTTGCCAACCCATTAGCTCCTGCACAGCCTACTACAAATCCAGCACTGGTCAGCCTGCTTATCTGGTTAGCTCATGCCAGCCTCCCTGCTCGGAATCCACTGGTGGTCAGCCAAAGTTCTGTGAAGCCAGCTCCTGCCAGGAACCTGTGTTTGCGTCCGGATCATGCCAGGCAGCTTGTGGCCAATCGGTCTGCTGTGACACTGGGTCCTGCCAGCCATCCTGCTCTGAGGTAACTTCCCATCTTGAAACATCTTGTCCATCAACCGTCTGTGCAGCTAGTCCATGCCAGCCACCGTGTTGCCAGGCAGGTTCATGTCAACCTGCGAGCGGTGAAAATCAGCCCTGCAAATCGACTTATTACCAACCCGTCTGCTACATTTTCAAGACTTGCCAATCAGTTCCTTACACGTCAGTTCCCTGCCATCCGTCGACTTGTATGTTGAGTCCTTGCAGTCCTACCTGCTGTGTGTCCTCCCCTTGCCAGCCACTGCCCTGCCAACCAGCTCCTTCCATATCCTTCATCTGCCAGCCAGTGGCTAACTGCCAGCCCTCTTGTTCTGTAAAGAGCTCTTGCACACCAGCTTCCTGTGGCACCATGCTTTCTGGCCAACCCACTTGTGTTGGACCCACTTCCTGCAATCGAAGTAGCTGCAAATCCCCTTCCTGCCAACCAGCCTGCTGTGTGACAGGTTTAGGCAAATCATCCAGTGGTGGCTCCAATTGCTTCCAACCAACTCCTCCACATCTCTGCGAAGCCAGCACCTGATTGCTGACTTCCCGTCAACCCAGCCGTGAATCCAGCTCCGTAAGGCAACACTTGGTTGCTGGAGCTCTCTTGACACCTCTTCTGAGGTCTGCAAGTGAATAGCCACTCTGCGGTGCCTGCCTCCGGCCAAGCACAAATGCTTCCTGCTTGCTAACGTTACTCTGAGTCCAGCCCCACATTCTCTCCAGATGCTGATGAGGAAACTTGTCCAGCCACTAAGGGATCCTTCTTAATTGAGGAGGAACTTTCAGCATGGTCCACACTATAGCTTGCATTTCCTGATGTCAACGCATTTCACTTCAGCAAAGCCTTCTTTCCAGTTTTCTTCTGATGCTGCCCAGTCTTTAAAAAGACTTCTTTGCTGGAAACCGCTAATTAAAATGTGACTGGTTAAGCGAAACGAGTGCTTTAACTCCTTTCGATTCTTCCCTTCGTAGATTTCCTTTGGGTCATATTTGAACATGATGACCTTGGGTCTGTATGGGTCTGCAAGAGCAGCTCATGTCCCGAATTATAGCTGCTCAAGAAGGAAGTGAGTAAGGACAATGATTCTCTGGCTTCCAACCTTTAAACCACCAAGAGCTCCTTTCAGTTGAGTGGGCTCAGTTTCCCATAGTGAATAGGCTTGAGAAGCCAAAGACGGAAATGGTCCAGGGAAGCCATAAACATGAAGATTCAGCCATGGAGAATAGCTCAGGGTTAATTCACTGAAAACTGGTTTAAATGATCAATTCACCTGATGACCAATTTAAATAAAATTAAAAACTCTAGAAAATTTTGGCACTTATGTTTTTGCTATGTTTTTGACATTCTAAGAAACGTTTTTAAAAACAATTAGTTTAAGGGAACTTCTGACCAAGTTTTATATTTCTATTGTGTAAGTAATGAATACAAATATTTTAAAAATGGTTGGGTTGGTCTCTGGGGGAAAGCATAGAGGAAGATTAACAGGGTGTCCTTGTAGCAATGGTGTAGTGCCCTTCCTCAAGGACCTCTGGCCTCCCCGTTCATGAAGGGTCTCTGGGTCTGCAAAGTGATGTGGGTCTGAAACCTGAAAAGTTCTCACTCAGGCTCACAGAGGGACACATGTAAGGATGTTCACTGTGGCATTTCTGTGATGACACCGATTTTAAAGGGAGTCTATTATTCACTAGGACAGCAGGTGGGTAACAAGGGATGATTTTTTCCATGGGGTATTGTATTTGATTCTCCAGAGAAATAGAACCAATAGAATGTGTGTGTGTGCGTGTGTGTGTGTGTGTGTTTGTGTGTGTGTGTGTGTGGTTATAGGTTTTTATTTACTTTTACTTATAATTAATTAACTACTTAATTAATTAGAAGGAACTGGCTCATGTAGTTATAGAGGCTGGCAAGTCCAAATCTGTTGATCTGTAGTGTGGGCCTGCAAGCTGGAGACCCAGGAGAACTAATGATGAAGATGAATTCTGCAGGATATTTGCTGGAGAATGTGCATTAAGCAGAATAAAATGCTGCCTATAGGAGGAGAACGAGACATAAGGAAAACAGGAATTAAATCAATTTATATATATACGTACATAAAGAAAAAAATAAATGAGAGAGGGAACTTGCAAGGACCAAAAATGATTATGCGCCATCTAAGGAATATAATTGACCCAATTATTTGCAAATGAAGTCTAAAGTCCAAAAAGAAAATTAAAAAGAGGAAGAAAGGGAGAGAGGGACCTTGGCATCGGAAAAGAATGACCCCGAATGGACCGTCTTCCAGAGACGACATTTCGGTGAGCGCACTATGTAAATTCTCGCTTCCATATCTTCCAAGGACATTTCAGTCATCTTAGGTGAGGGGTGAGGCTCTGGGAAGAGGGAGGCATCTTACTTCAGTCCTGAACAGATTTTTCAACAATACTCCTTCCATGATAAGTTTAAGGAGTTACAGCTTCTTAAATAATTTGCTTATTGATACCAGAATTCTCGACCTACTTTGCAAAAGTTTTTTGACCCACTTAAGCCTCTCCCATTCTTCTTTTTTTTTTTTTGTTCCAATTATAGATTTCTCTGTGGTACTGGCAAATGTTGGGTACTGGCAAATATTGTCCACTGGCCACCTGCCAACATGTGAGCCGCACGTTTTAAACATGTCAGGTATAAAAAGTATGTTGGGAAACCTTGTGTCTTTCCTATGCTTGGCAATAGTTTAAATAACAGCAATTATTAGCGCCTTTTTGGTTTGCTAGAACTTGTCCATAAAACATCTGAACCTCCCATTATAAACAATCTGCAGCTCTGCTGAGCCAGAACGTGCTCCTGACCAAATCTTGACTTACGCGTATGTCCCGTGTAGGAAGCAATCTTAAAAGTATAAGAAAGTTTTGAGAAAAATATTACAAATCCCATCAAGAGGAAAGAGGGAAGGCAGAATGGCTTTATGAGTGGCAGAGCCACTTTAAAAAGTAAGTTTCCTACTCTGACTAGTACCTTGGTCAAAAGCCAGGAGAATGAAGCCTGGACGATCGCCGACTTCATAAAATCTTAATGAACCTTGCAAATCAGTTGGTCAAATTACCCGTTCATTTGCACATTCATTCTGTGACATCTTTATTATTTTTATTTGAATTGACCATCTCCAAAGAATGAGACACTTTACCTCCACAGGAAACACTGCTTCTCTGGACAGCTCCAAGAGTGAGTTTTCACGTATGTTTTTTGCCAAAATTAGTATCTATAGCTCCCGTGATTGGTTTTGTTTCTTGACTCCATAAGGCCACATAAGATACATTGACTCCGTCTTCTGCAGACAGATATTCTCGTATGTGGAGACACTGGTTATTCCCTTCTCCCAAAGGTTTTCTTTTCTCTTGGGTAATTATCACCAGATACCTCCGTTCTTCATTATGTAATTTGAATTCCAGTTCTACTCCCAGCAGAGTCGCTCTCCTCAAAGCACTTTCCAATTATTCAATATTCCTGTGTGATCAGAGACTCACTCAAGATGTAGCTATTTTCTAACCAGCCCAGAATGTCATCCTTCTCTTTTGAATACAGCCCATATTTCTCCTGGGTCATGTCTGCCTGATGATATAATTAACTACTATTCTTTAGGTTAGCTATGTCAGCCCCATTAGGAAATTCGCTGGGATTTGAATGACTAGGTCCCTATTTAGTGAGGTGGCATCTGTCCTCCTGTAGGGGACATTCCTCAAATGGTTTCTTGGTTCCTCTGTTGATATTCTCTCTCCTGCCTTTGCGTGCCTGTTGTTAAGTTCATATTCCAGTCATACTGATGTCCTCATTGTTATTGTATGAAAGAAAGAATTCTTCGGGCTCAGATTTAACATTGACTTCGGGTATATGGCTCTTTAACGTGAGTTCAAGTTAGCCATAGTGCTTCTTCCCTAGCAAACTCCAGATACTTTGAGTATCTGCAGAAAAAACTATCCAGTGCATCTGCCCCAAGCTGTCTGCCTAACCATTCCTCTTGTACGTCTCTTATCCAGGGCTCAGCTTAAATTTGGATCAAATGCTTATTATTATTGGATAAAGAGAAATGCTGTCATCGGACATGAGAGATATCTTGACAATTGTCACTGAATTCAGTCTATATTTCTGCACTCTCTTCGTAAGAAATTGAGAGTCCTTTTCAATTGCCCTGTTGAAAGCCAGATTCATTTTCTACTAAATTTCACTGATCAACTAATCTAGCAAAAATAAAAAGTTAAATTATTTTCCATGACTTGGTCGAAGTGGTTCCTCTTCTAGGGATTCACAAAAGGTCTTTTGAACAATCGATTCTAGAATCTTTTTCTGAGATCAAACTTATAGGTGTATGGTTTGCAGAAACTTGAAAATGGAATGGCATTTGCTTGTCTCAACACATTCTACATCTCCCATTCTCTAAGATTCCTCAGATGTCAGTGTGTGGTTTCTTTTGTTGTAGCCACCAGGCCCCGAAAGACACACAGACCACCAGAAATCAGTGAGTTATAGGAAACACACTCTTTATTCAGCCAGCTGGGTCTGCCAGGGGTATGCAGACCCCAAATTAAGCAGCAGCGAAAAGTAAAAGTACAAGGTTTTTAAGCTCTAAACCCCATTCTTCATTCTGTCTCAACACAAAGGTCTATTTTTCTTCTATTCACTACCTGTCGACCCATAGGTCGGGTGTGCAAGCGGGGTTACAGAAACAGAAAGCTTGTTATTAGAATGTTATGTTCCCATAATTAAAAGTCTTTTGTTCCCATGGCGATAGTCAAACAGTAATTTCCTGCAAGTAATAAATTTCAAGCAGTCATTTTTCAGCCACCACACTTTTTAGTCTCCAAGTGCTCTGGGACATCATGTGCGCAGCATATAATGACATGAATTTATTTAGAGAACCTAGATGTTTGTTAAATCTATTTGTCCTTAAAAACGGTTAGTCATTTTTCCAATTTGATTATTTCCAATGGTCTGAAAAGACAGAGAGCAAATAAGAGCCTTTCTAGCATAACCTTCGCATTCTTTGTGCTACATTCCACAGAGAGATCTCAGATCTTATCTTAGTCTCAGATCTCAACGTGAATGAAGGAGAACAAACCCCTTTTACATGCCTGGATTTTCCTTGCCAGATACTGACTTGTTGACAGCTCATGTATCATGAGTTGGGTGAGGGGGGAGATGCAAACGCATCATGCAAAAAAAATTAGCAGCACCGCACTGAGGAGCTTACTTCGTATTAAACTTCTTGGTGTTATTTTGAAATAAGATTTGATCTCCTTATTTAGAGCAAAAGGAATTAAAACCTCTCTCTCTATATATATATTCCTCTCCCACCCCTCTTCCCCACCCTCTCTTTCACTGTTGTAAGTTTTCCCATTCGGTTCAGAAGGAAACATCAGAATCTTTATTTATTTTTTTTATTATAAAAATAACTCATGCTTGAAGGAAAAAACAATGGAAAGCCCTAGTCCCCCAACACCCCACTCAAATCTTGCTCTCCTGGGACAAACTATGGGTTTCTGTTTATTATGCCCTAAATCTTT